AAACAATGTTGCGGTCCTGCTGGCTGAAGCCCGGGGTTTTGTTTAGCTTCTATATTTGTTACAATGTTGCTTAGAGTGCAGCTGAGAGGCTGGCAAGGCAGGCGGGGAAGCTTGGCTTCCTCCGTCACTGAAGCAAGCAAGCCTCCCTGTTCGTGTCAGCTGCCTGGCTGCCGGCCGCCATCTTGGTTGGCAGTTAATTTGCATATCTCACTGATTAGTCAATGGGAAGGGTAGCAGCCGTACAGCTAATTACCATGTTTCTCTTTTATTAGATAGGATAGCTGAGATTTGAAAACAGCCCAAGTGCCCATCAGTAGATGAATGGATAAAAATCTCTGGGACATTTACACTATGGAACACTATGCAGCTGTATAAGAGAGGGATCTCTTACTCTTTGGGACAGCATGAATGGACCTGAAAACTATTATTCTAAGTGAAATAAGCCAAACTGAGAAAGACAAGTATCACATGATCTCACTTATTTGTGGAATCTAATGAACAAAACAAATTGACCAACAAAATAATATCTGATAATATCTGAAGCAGGGAGGCATGGAATAGTTTGACATACCATGATGTGGGGTTGGGGGGACAAGAAGAGATAAACCGAAGAACTTACATACTTATATGCATAACCCATGGATATGGGCAATAGGGTAGGGAAGACCTGGGGGAGGTGGGTCGGGGCTGGGAGGATTAGGGTGGAGAGAGGGAATTGGAGATATCTATAATACTATCAACAATAAAAATGTTACAAAAATAAAAAAATAAAAGAAAATTATAAAGCTAATCAGAGAAACAAAAGCATATTACATACACTGCAATAAATAAAAGGTTGACAGTAGATTTCTTATTGGAATTAATGCATTGAGATGACAGTAGAGTAATCTTTAAAGTCCAGAAAACAAAAGATCCAGAGAATTCTATATCCAGTAAACCTACCTTCCAAATGAAATTGAGTTTTCAAGATACCCAAGATTAACTTAAGAAAAAATGCTAAAAGGAACATGTCTTATGATTGAAATGTGCATAAATAAGAACTAATAAATAAAATGTCAAATATTTACCTGTGTATAATGGCCACAAACTTTGGTACATTGTTGACTACTATAAGTATAAAATTGCCTTTCATTATACCAAGAACGAATAGCAATTGCTGGTATATATTGGTATAAAATACCTAACCAAATATTTTCTCCCACATATGCAAAAGTTGGGTGACACCGATTTGCTGGACAGTAGTTGTGTTCAAATTTGCACTTATTTGCCCAGGATTTTGCAGTCTTCGCTAAACCTTCATCCCAAGTCTGAAAGACAAAAATAATTTCAATACATTGTGCATATTCGCTTTCATTTAAGTTATTCTAATGATGTCAGTCAATGAAATTTTAAGTTTTCAATTTTAATAAAATATAGTTTTTCTTTTGCATTTATTATGTTCACCATTAGTCAGTGTTTTGTTTTTTTCTTAAGTTGTGCTTCAGAAACACTCTGTGACCCATTCTGTGGCCGTTCATATTTGTAGGTGGTCAAAACGTACAGACTTCCAGTTACAAGGTAAAAAAGTTTTGGGCTATAGAGTACAGCATTGTGAGTATAGTTAACCATTCTGTAAAGTTGCTCAGATATTAGATCTTAAAAATTCTCATTATAAGAAAAAAATGTAACTATGAGGTAATGGATCTTAACTAAAATTATTGTGGTAATCACTTTGCCATATATATACATATACCAAATAATTATCTTTTATATTTTAAGCTAATACAATGTTATATATCAATACAAAATTTTAAAAAATTTGCATGATTTCAGGGCTGATCTGTTAACACATCATGCTCTATCTTTTCTGACATTTATAGAAAGTGACATGAGAAATGAGATGCCTGGTTTTTCTGGATGATGCAGTAGTGGATGACAGGAGAAACTCCTGTTGAAGTCTTGGCCAATAGTCATCACTTCTACTTTTGGCCAAAATGGAGTAACTTTCTGACTTGAAACAATAAAAATAACATACATATGTGAAAAAGCAAGACACATGAAACAAGGACCAGTGATCCATGAAAGGAGGGAAACCAATAAGGTGAGTCTTATAGTGGCCTTACCTGCTGCTTTGGGAGAATGTTCAGTCCATACAAGAATACCAGAAAGCACAGACGTGCACAGAGGCAGGGCTGTAAAGAAGACTATTTAGCAGAGGGTTGATTAACACACACATGTGAAGAACATATGCAACACCAGGGAATGAATCACTCAAAATGATAGGAGAGCATATAACCTAATGCTTACACAGCACTGGGACTATTGCTTTTCCTGCTAGCGAGATTGGAAAACCTCATAATCTTGGGAATTGTGTCGAGTACTCAGGAGGATCTCTCCTTAATAGAGGGAGATAATGATCCCTAGCCTCAGTCACTTCTTTTGTTCTACCTTACAAATCTTAAACACAAGACTCAAAAGGATCAAAATGCCAAGTAACATAAGTCCATGCCAGAAAAAAATGTCAAGAATATTTACATAAATACAAAAATTAGCATCACCCAACAAGCTAAAATGGACAGATTCAGATATCCAATACAAAGTTATCTGCATACAGGACTCATGATCTATATATATAGAACCCTTATATGCAAATAAACGAAAAGGCGGAACAACCGAACAACCAAACTGAACAACCAGCCGCTGTGACATGCGCTGACCACTAGAGGGCATTTGTGGAACATGGCAGGTGTTGGCAGCAGGTGGCAGAATGGGGAACATGGCGAGTGTCAGCTGTGGTGGGATGGTGGAGCAGGTGAGCAGGGCACCAGACCAAGATAGGGTGCTGGTCGCTGTCATCAGTGTGAGCCTCTGGTGGTTAATAAAAAACTCTTTGCTTCCATGCTCCCTGGTCCCACCTGGTGCTCATACATGCTGTCAGCGCTGAACCTGCTGGCACCTGCTGCCAGTGCCTGGCGCCGGCCTCAATTGATTGGCGCCATCAAGGGGTGCAAGGGGTGGCTGCCATCCCTGATCACCCCTAAGGGCTTCTCCATCTCCCTCTGCTCCTGAGGGGTGATTGGAGTAGCTGCCAATGCTCACATCCGCTGACAGCACCAGCCACGCTCACACCCACTGCTGGTGCCAGCCTCAATTGCTCCGTGCCATCAGCGGGTGAGGTGGGACCAGCGCCATCAGCACGTGGGAGTGTCAGCAGCAGGAGCAGGGCTGCCAGCAGAGAGTGGACCAGGGGCCGAGGTGGGAGGGGCTGGCCAGGGGTGTGGAGGATGGGCTGAGACCCACCCCTGTGCTCACCACAGCATCATGGCCCATAGTTCCTTTTAAGGTGCACAAATTTGTGAACTGGGCCCCCAGTAATACAATAAAAAATGGGAAGAAAGGCCCTGGCTGGGTAGCTCAGTTGGTTAGAGTATCGTGAAGGTGAGCCAAGGTTGAGGGCTCCCTGGTCAGGGCACATATGGGAATCAACCAATTAATGTATGAATAACTGGAACAACAAATCTTTGTTTCCCTCTCTCTCTCTGTCTCATACTCTAAAATCAATCAATTAAAAAAAATTAATAAGGAAAAAAAAATCAGTGAGTGAAAGTTAAACCAGAAGTAACACATCTGTTAAAATTAGTAGAGAAAGCAAGAATCATAAAAAAACCCTTTTACATGAAAAGAGCATCAGTAGGCTGTGAGATAACTTCAAATTTTATAATTAATACTAGAGGCCCGGTGCACAAAAATTTGTGCACTCGGGGGGGAGAGGGGGTCCCTCAGCCCATCCTGTGCCCTCTCGCAGTCTGGGACCACTCAGGAGATAATGACCTGCTGGCTTAGGCCTGCTCCCTGGTGG